ATAGCAGGTTATACTATAGATAACAGCAAGATAAGAAATTATTTTATTACTGGAGATTTTTAAGAAATTATTTTATTACTGGAGAGATGAAGTACGAAAAAAATATTAAAAATAAAAATAATATCTTCGTGAAAAAATGCGTTTTTAGCACATTTTATGACCCACGACTTTACCCACGACTTTACCCACGACTTTACCCACGACTTTACCCACGACACACGACTTTTAACCCACGACACACGACATATAGGGACACTCTCTGCGTCGCACAGATCACATTTGAATAAATAAACAACACATTGCTGATTCACAAGGGGTGGTTTCGTTTCTGCTGCTGGGAAGTCTGCGGCAATCTTTCTCCTTGTGTAGACAATGGCGACAGCTGCGTAACCTCAGCAAGACCATCGGTAGACAAATACAACCGGTCTTCACAAGCAGAAAGATTTTAAATTTAAATAAGGTTCACCCTTGCGGCATAATTAAATGTTCTGCCAGATTCAATAGACCGCATTTTAGTAGGTTGTACAACATCTACTTATATTAACTATGACTTATTCTACCTATCAATAGTTGGATACATGACACAAACCATAGGGCTCATGACATATCTCACGGCATGGTTTACTTTCAAGACCCTGTGAGTATGTACATAATCTAACTGCATCAACACTTAAATACTAAGGCCCCCTTTACACGAGCCCGGGCTGATTTTCAACCCGGGTCAGCACGCCACAGGTGGTTATTTTTTTATTCTGTTTACATGAACCCGGGTTGACGACAATTTTTGCCAACCCGGGTCAGCAATTCTCAACCCGGGTTGACTCGAGTAATATTCCGAGCAACAGACTGGAGCAGAGTGTATTTTTGACGCTTATATCCCTTAAAATCCCTTATAGACCTCATACGATATTATTACGATTTATATACCTTTTAGTTTTGGCGCTTATATCTTTCAGTATACGATTAGGCGATATCCCTTTTTATCAAGGATTTAACCGTATAGCAACTTAATTCTGCCTTAAAGGGGGTTTCTTCCCTTTTTGATAGCTTCTCGTTATTTTGTACTGGAAGATCTACTGGGCAAAAATAGTCGGCATCGAACGCCAACGCCCGACCTTCGCGCAACTTTGAATACAACTGTGACAACATCGGAGTTGAAATCTACATATTTATAATTCATCTCCGTCTTATAATCCTTCAGAGAAAGGATTAGGTGATCAATAATTTCAGACCACCACTGAAACGCGGGTTGAGCATTTTTTCTTTTGGTTTTGGACAGTCTTTGCTCGCCATACTGTATGATTTTACATGTCTGTACTAAACAGAGACGAAGAAAATAAGCACGCAAAATGTTGAAATGCGATACTACGCTAGGTGCAAAGTTCACAATCAGGAATTTACCGCACTTTACATGATCCCGGGTCAAGCCAACCCGGCTTTACATGAAGAAATGAGTAAACTTTTCACGCGTTCACACCTCGCCAACCCGGGTCGACCCGGGTCTCGAGAAGGGTGCCCCGGGTTGGCGAGGTGTGAAAGGTTGACCCGGCTATCGTGTAAACGCTAATAGAGATTTATTCGTAGACGGGTTGACCCGGGCTGGCAATCCAACCCGGGTTGATGGTCAACCCGGGCTCGTGTAAAGGAGGCCTAAGGAATAAACTTACAATCCTCACACAGACTTAACCACATGTGAAATACTAAGGAATAAACTTACAATCCTCACATAGACTTAACCACATGTGATGGACAGATTACGGAATACACAGTGAACAACAAGGACTAAGTTTACAATATCTCACTGCATGGTCCGAGTATATTTAAGAAAACCATTTACTTAAATGAGATATAGAAAACCATTTACTTAAATGAGATATAGGAAAATTACACAACACAAAATCACAAGTCTTGTTACCAGTATGGTCAAATCCGACCCTGTGATAAATTCATGTGCATCATCAAATTACACCTATCAATTACCAAGTAATAACTTTACATACAGTAAATGCTATCTGCAATCACGATATTCAGTACAATGGAATGACATAAAAAGACACAAAACAACGCACGCATAATACGCGTGCACCTTTTATACAATATTTCACGGCATGGTCTACTTTCAAGACCCCGTTAAAAATAACAGAAATCCATTAGATAAATAGGCCTAAATAATGATTATAAGTACACCACAGGTCCAAGACGCATGCAGAGGTCCTATATTACCTATCCCAAAATTAAAATATTCCGCGTTTTAATTTTCAGCGGGTTTCCTCAATTTCGCTCATTACAGTCTAGCGCCTTTGTCCCTTGTTTATGTCTTATGATTAGTGATGGGCGATACCACTAGTATCGATTCGATACGATACCAATTACTTTTTCGTAAAAGTATCGAGGTATCGATTACCCAAACGATTACTACTACGACGATTGTTTCAGAATTTTCCGCCATTATAATCCATGAAAAAACAAAAATTAATTTATTTCCCGCCTTTTTCATAATTTATTCTGTCGACGAGGTCAGGAATATTAATCACGAAAGTGGATAGAATGTCAAATAAAGTAAAGGAAGTTTGATTAAATTGGTAAATGCAGTAAAATACAAAATTTTATTAGAAATAGCCATGAAAACGATGACACAACTACAGAATTATAATGAATGTCTAATTTTAAAAGTAATCAAAACACTTTTTCGATATCGTGCAGTATCGACTACTTCCGATTTGGGCCTGGTATCGGGTGGTATCGATACCAAGTAATCGGTAATCGCCCATCACTACTTATGATATCGAAGCTTCGCCTTGTTTATAGTTAAAAAGTTAGGAAAGCTCTGTGGAGGAGAGATTCGTTACGTATAGTTGTACGAGATTTTAGTGCTGACATTGAACCAATATTAAGAGACAAGTAGGCCGTAAGCCAAAATATTACAAAATAAACGACCAAATAATGGTTGTATAAGTGATATATTGAGTTCTAAAATATAATTTCTATATACTATTCAAGACAATGTGTCCAACATGGCACTGCCAAAGTTAAACGCATCTGTATTAAAGTGATAAAACCGTTGAAATGTTCCCTCTTTGGACCATCCCGCTGCATTCATGATGTTTCTGAGGTCAAAAGCAAGGTGGGATGGAAGCAAGGTGGGATGTTGATGCTGTTCTTGTGCTATGCCATGGCTCTTTGTATTTCGAAATACCAATACCTGGCATTGCTTGCTTGCTGCGGACATAAAATTCTTTACCCAGTGGCAGTGTGAAGTAAGTTTCGGTAGAAATTGGTTGATGCGGTTTGATAACGCTGATCATTAATTGTTTATTATCACCACGAAGTGGACAGATGCGCTTGATATATTCAAGGACGTGTGACACAATACATAATTTTTTGTCTGCAGGGTATATGCTAGAAAGATCTAGACTAAGGGTTGTTGATGAACGCCAGGTTGGGTGTGTTTTAGCTTGTCAGAGATGATAAAAGTAACCTTGAATTCTTCCGTAATCATATTGTCAAAAGTAATGTGCTTTACCGTCTGGCACCTCTGTCCACTCAGGAGACATAAAAGGAAGAGAGAGATCCTTCAACGATAACAGGGATATGTCTTTTTGCGCTCTTATGTAATTAAATATATCATTAACATTATAGAGCTATATCTCGGTAAAGACGGTCGTGACTCAAAAATGCCTTTCATAAAACGTTTCACTAGCGGTAATTGCCCAAAGGGTGTTTAATGATCGTCCCAGGATAGTATAGTTGATTAGACACTTCGAGCCGTATTTATTGAGCTATATGACAAATCGAATTCATACAAATCGGAAAGGAACGAGAGCGCTAAAGGCAATGGTGGGGAAATCAAATCACAGTTTTTAGTTTTACAAAATTCAAACCACTTCTTCGCGGCAGACTGGTATTGGGATTTCGTCCCATCTCTCCAAGAACTTAGGAGTTAGGATAATATCATTCACCTGTTCGGAGAATCCTCTCACTTGTAGTTTGTTCCTGATACAAGACAAATGAGAAGATTCATTTTCGAGTGTAGTGGATGCTTGAGGTCGGGCTCAGAGGGCATTAGCAATAGATCTGCAGCTGGTGCTAAGCAATAGGGTTTCTGTCTCAGGATTGGACGCAGCATTGGGTACCAGACTACCAGGTTTGAGCTGGCCAGTCTGGTACTACAAGTATGCCCCTCGCTCTGTCTTGAATTATCTTCCTGATCACTTTGATGATGCAACTGAATGGATGGAAACAATAGAAATTTTCGTTTGCCCATGGTATGGTAAAGGAACCAATATGCTTAGCATATAAGGGTCTGGTTTATAAGACACATAAATTCCAAATTGTTTGTTTATACGCGATGCGAATAGATCGATATCAGGCAAGAAACCGAGATTTTGCAAAGCAGTTTTAAGATGCTGGGGGTTTAGCAGCCATTCAGTATCAATATTTTTGTTTCGAGATTCCTCAGCAATGATATTTTGTTTGCCAGGGATATATGCAGCTGTAAGCCATATGTTGTTTCTCTCACATAATACCCAAATATCTTATATCACATGCAACATATAACTGTCATATATTGTTACATTGCCATTGGTCAGTTGTGAATAGTGCCCTTATTGTTAATCACTGACACAGCAGTGGTATTATCAACCATAATCTTTACGTGTTTTCCTACAATGGAATCGAGAGTAAAAAAGAGTAAAAAAGGCAGCTAGAATTTCGAGGTAGTTAATATGTTGTTGCCCCTCGTATGCTGTCCAATGTCCTCCGGTAGACACAGTGTTCATTACACCTCCCCAATCAGAGAGAGATGCATCAGAATTGATAATAATGTCTACTGGGAGAGTTTCAATCAAGTTAAACGAATTGGTAAATTAACTAACCACCAATTTAGGTATCGGACAGCACGAGGTGAGAGGTGCATATGCATGACTGTCAAAATTTCCTTTTGCAGTTTTTAATGCAATAATTTTATCCGGCATGCTCAATAGCACGGTAATGGCATTCACCGTAGCGAACTGCAGGAAAACTAGAGACTAGATAGCCGATAATCTGAGCCACCTCGCGTATAGTCTTGGATAGTGCAAGTATTTCCGTAATACGGGCAGATATCTTGGCAATTTTTTCCCGGGTTAACGTGATTTTCATTGTGATAGAGTTAATCTCGAAGCCCAAAAATACAATTTTCTTCTGAGGGAAAAATACAGATTTTTCAACATGAATAACGAAGCCTAGATTCGTGAGAAGCATTATTGTGTGCAAGATTGCCTTAGTACAACCTTCATACGAGGTTGCTCAGTACAATGAGAATATCGTCAATAAATATAACAAGCATATCAGTGGCCTTGCTTGCGCAGAACACATAAGGCAGGTTTTAAAAGCTTCGTAAAGTTTCTTGGACATGTAGACAGCCCATTTGGGTAAACAGTTTATTTGTACAGTTTTCCTTTAAATGGAAATTTTAAGAACTTTTGATGATCTTCATGAATTCCCAGACACTGTAATACGCGTCTTTGAGGTCGAGAGAGGCCATCCAGCAACCTTCTGTCACTAACGAGAGGGCGGTATGAATGGAACCATTTTAAAATGTAAAGATTTGACATGCATTGAGATTTTATTTTATTTAAACATATATATTCCTAACGTTTGCACAAGAGCACTAGACTCATCTAGGGGCTTACGTTACACTGTTTACTATTACATTTAGGCCGGACAGACATATCAGTTACATTTACATTAATTTTACAAAGTTCAAGACACTGAAGATGTATAAAAACACGCATAGTAAGTTAATTAAACAACGAAAGATAATAGCTATGACGAAATTAAAGAAAACGTTTAGATTCCCTAATGTATTGTTGAACATACTCAAATATCTTAGTAAAATTGCACGACACCAGCTTATATCACCATAAACTTGTGCAGCAGCCGAGAGCAAGATTGATCTTAGAGCAGCCGGCATACCGTGGGCATTTTAACAAGTAATGAGCTACTGTTTCACAGCCAGCACCACAAATACAGTCAGGTGTTAAACTATGCTTTATTCTAAATAGATAGTAGTTCAACGCACAACAATTTAGACGCAACGTGCATGCAATACTGAAGTCAATGGAATGATCAAAATAGCTATTATTACGGTCACATGAAATATCAAAAAATTTAAGAATATCTTTTTTGAATAAATTAATAGATGACAAGCTACGAACTGTGTATACTCAACCGACTTCCATAACATAGTAGCCGAAGGAAAAAAGGATTTTTTAAATCTTTCAGTTCTAACAAAAAACTGAGAAATGTTAGATGCCTGCCTCAATGATAAACCGGACCTTTGTTCAACCGTCTGGGGCAATAATTTTGGCAAGTATTCTGGAACATGATTATTTACTATTTTAAAATATAAAATAAGTTTGTGAACCAGACGTCTAGTTTTCATATCTTCCCAAGCCAGATCTTCCAATACCTATACTAGTACCCCTCATAGCACCCGTGACCACCATGGTTGACTGATATTGTATATGCTCAATTAAATCACTTTCATTGTCAGAACACTGAACACCCATCCCATAAGACATCTGCATATTCTAACAATGGTCTAATAAGACATTTGTACAAGTTTGACAAGGTTTTCCTATTTAACTTAAACTTTAAACCTTTAAGAAGATTCGACCTTTTGGAAGCTTTCTCGTGTATACTAGAAAATACATGCATGCAGAAACCCTCGCCTTGCTGACAAAACCATTATATTTTCCGAACATGAAGTATGTAAAGTAGTTGTTATGGTAACACGATAATTTTTTAAGAATATTCTTACAAATGAAAAATCGGCCTAAAAATATCACTTTTAATTACAAAATTATCAATTTCCCAACATATATATGTTAGGTATGATTTTATACGTAATATAAGCTTCAGTTTAAGGTAAAATTCAACCACAAACGCTTCGCAAAACGTTTTAAAGTGTTCTTTATAAAACTATAAAACTGCCTTTAATTAAATGGCTTTATCGATAAACTTTGAGTTTGCAATAAAATTATTTCAAATTCTCGCATGCAAATAACTTTGCTTTCTTTTTTATTTATTTATTTATTTAAAAAATTCAATATAATAAAAAAGGGAATCAATATTAAAGATACAATGAAAATATGAAATTATATGCTGTCTTGTTTAGTTGTTTCATATACGCAAAGGCCGTCGGGTTTTAAAGCAATTATAAAATCAATATTTAAAACAAACTTACCTTCGTTAACGTCGGCTCCCTTCTTTTAGCCGATTCTTTCGCCCTTTCTTTCTTGAAATTTACAGAATCTTGCAAAAATGCGAGCAACAATGAAATATATTTGCAAGAAATTTATCAATCATCAAATCAAGAAATGTTTGCTATTTCGCTGTCGTCATGCAGTCGTCATAATGCTAACTTTAAATTGGACCAATCACAGTATTCGCTATTCATGACAGTCCGCCATATTTTTGAGATCAGTGAGGATGACCACCCACGCACAGTGACCCACGCCCGCGATATTTGATGAACTTTAGACTTCGCTAATGCTTTCGTTTCCCCGGGTGTAAATAGCCGGGGGGAATTAGTACCCTCGCACGGCGCTTCGCGCCATCGGCTCGGGGATTAATAATATGTGCTGTCCAAGTTAAATTTGATGAAAGTGTAACTCCTAGGTGTTTATGATTACAAACTTATTGAATTTCATTATTATTAAAAAATAGGGAAGGTTGATTTAGCCTAAGTCGTTTGACAGAGAATATTATTGATTTGGTCTTGCCTGGATTGATAGTAACAAGCCAATCTTTTGTCCATGCTTTAATGCATTCGAGATCATGGTTTAATCGATCAGCTGTAAGACAGGGATCATCTACTATTGCCAAAAGAGAAGTATCGTCAGCATATAAAAAATTATCACTTTGGAGGTCACGAGTCATGTCGTTAATATAAATTATAAATCAAAAACAACAAAGGACCCAAAAAAGAGGACCCAAGGACCCTTTGGTTAAGTTATTTGATTTGAGATTCAAGATAAGACGAACCTTGTTTAATATCTTTCTTATAGGAACTGAACAAATTGGTGAAATATATTCACCAGGTTCGTGACGGGAGGCCATACAATAACTTTTGTATTCAGGAGGTTTGAAATTTCCTTCTCAATCTGTGTAACATGCTCTTTTGCAATGGTATTGCTGGGGTAAACGGGGCTACTTGGTGGGTCGGCGATAAAATCAATAATTTCACCTTTCACTGTTAAAATAGTGGCGTCAGATGTGAAAACCTCCCAACTGTGACAGAAAATTCTGGATTTGCCCGCCACAAAATGAATCAACATGTTTTTTCAGATTAAGCAATATCTCACTGTCAAAATACGCGGGAAAATGGCAGTTTCCTGTAAATTTATTGCCGAGCCTGGTGTTTGAATTGCCGGAATTGCCGGGGAAGGTAGGATCCCCTTCCCCGTGTCGGTAAAAAAATTTGCCGTTTCTGGTTTGGATATGGTGAGAAACGATGTCGAGACATGGGAGGCATGGACTCACGAGCAAGAATTTTGCCCTGCAATTTTGAAGCGTTAATAGTTTTGGTTAAGTCATCCCCGAAAAGGAGACTGCCCGGTTTGTTGGAGCGATTGCATGCCGATTTAAGCTCTGGGCTGAGCAATGATCGCAGAAAATCTCGGCGTTTAAACGAAAGCTCCGAGTTAACGTGCCCCAATAAGGCAATTGAGTCAAACAACCGTGTGGCAATGTTACGATAATCCGGGGTCGACATTTTAATAAGTCGTCGATTGTAATAGATAAAGCGCTAGTAACGCGCACAATAGAGTCTTGCAAAACAGCAGTACGTAAATTCCGCTGTCTGTAAAAACCTTTTAGGCTTGACCAAATAGGTTCATTAACCCTGGGTACATGCAACATCGGTTGCAATTGGATGGCGTCTTGTATTTCTCAAAAATTTCTTTTCGTTTCTCAAGGCCCAGGGGCCGGTTGTATAAAACTCTTAATCACTTTTTTAATCACTATTTTGTAGTTAAATAGTGATTCACTCTCAAATAGGCGCTTCTTATTGGATGACGTTTCCACTTAATTATAATTAACTTTAATAACTTTTTTACACAACCGGCCCCAGAATGCCAGATCAATCGAAAATTTGTGGGGTTGTCTTGGAATTATCCTTCAAAACCAATTGCGACGTTTACAAAATAGAGCAGCACGTATCATTACAAAGCGTGGGTATGAATTTAGATCAGCCGATATACTTAAAGAATTAGATTTACCTAATTTAAGTCCCAGAAGAAATAATCAATTATGTACTACTATGTATCAGGTAAATAATAACATGGTGCCTGACTGCCTAATTGATTTATTCACGAAAACCAGTACACTTCATAATCATCAAACTAGGCAGGCTGAATTTAACTTTGCACTCCCGAGGCCAAGTACCAACTTTTGTAAAAAATCATTCTCGTACAGAGGAGCTGTAGCTTGGAATGATTTATTACCTAATATAAAAAATATGGGTTCATTGTCAACCTTCAAAAGGGCTCTAGTGTCAAATAGTGGTAATAATTCTTAATAATCAATTTATCTTTTTTCTTTTTCTCTTCGATTTTATTGTATTAACTTAATAAAATATTTTTATAATTGCATGTAATTATTCATACATATATAGCACGGCCTATTGGAAGATCACATCTTGTAAATATTTTAGTTTTTGTCTTTGTGCAATAGTACCGTGGGTAAATAAAGTTTGATTGATTGATTGATTGGTCATTGACAAGTGTCGCTACCTTTTCGGTAACTGGAGGGCCAGAAAAATCGGACGGTCGCAGAGACTCATCGATTATAACACAGAGTAGATACATATACAGAGTTATAACTAGTGTACCCACTTTTTTGTGCGCATGCTCGGCAAGTTACTAGATGCATGCATCCCATTGGATGGCGACTCGCTTTAACTGCTCGCGGAACTTGCCGAGCACGCGCAGTTGATTATTTTTTGTCCGGCCGCCTGAAAAAAAGTGGGTACATGAAAACGTAAGTTTCTGCAGTGTTTACAACGGCCAGTTCCAGCTCTGTATGCATCTACTCTGTGATTATAACCTGAGTATCAGGCTCTATTTTAGCCTGACACAAACCTTAATCCAATCACTTTCCACCCACAGCAAAGTTTATATTTAGTATTCAATCAAAATCTCGCAGGAGAAATTTAAATTTCACACAATTAACGACAACAACAATCTAATTATAGTTGTGATCACTATAAAATATATCAACAACAATAGTATAATCCAATTAGCACCAACCAATCAAATGACAGATTAAAAAATCTTTTGTCTCATAGACCAATCAGATTTACAACCGAAATAAGGTTGCATTGCGGCATGTACGGCATGGACTTTTGTAAGGTTTGTATCAAGGTTACATCGATTAATAAGTCTAATAGATTATCGTTATCGGGATCTTGGGCCTCAGCCGGCTCAAAATCATTTCCCTCAAACAAGCTTAATGCGTCGTCTTCGCTTTCCCGGTGGGATGTTGTGGGCTCGTCCGCCGAACGAGGGTGAGTGGCTTCTTGTGAGCCTTGCGCAATGTCTTCATCTGAGGCAGTTTGGGGCGCTTCCTCTGAAGCGGGTGTGTTGGCTTCCTCGGAAGCTGGTGTTTCTGATTCCTCTGAATCATGCATGGCGGGAGAATGCGCAGATGCACGTTCTGCGCACATTTCATTTAATAATTTTGTTGTTTCAATCATACCTTTCTCACCTTGCTGAAAAGCTGAAAGCATGTTTAACCACATGGAGCGCTCTGGTGGAGAAAAAATATCGCAATCATCGGCACTTTGTTCTACCTCGGACATTTTAAAGGAGAAATAATCAGACAAATAACAAGGATAACAAGATAACAATGTATGAACTTATCTGGCGACAGTGGCGTGCTGGCAGGGGAGGGGGCCGGGGGGCCACGGCCCCCCCCAGCTGGCAATTCTTGGGGGGCGCAAAAATGAAAAGGGGGCGCCGTCCCGTGCGGAATTTTGTAAGTGGGTGGGAAAAAACGCATTTGAAAAAATATAGTTACTTCCGTCAAGAAGTATATATTTATATAGGCTTATAAACAGATCGAGACTAAGCGCATAGCCATAGACGACAAAGTGATATATTAAATTACAGACTATTTGGTCTAACCTTATTTGCTAATTTGCTACTTCACGGCTCACACAAAATCGTTCATATAGAAACATGATCAGTGATCACACACAATGTCTCATTACCGGAATATTGGTCAGGTTTCGAAGCGATCACGGAATTATGCCTTTTTTGCTGGTATTATGCCCTTATATTATGAAGGTATTATGCTTC